GTACCACTAATTATAATCGAGAAGCAATCTTGGACCTCCATTTTGTGCCCTCACATGTAGCGTGGTGTGTCCCATTTTCTGTTCGGGATGAAGGGGTATCTGAAGTCCAGATGGCCCGCCAAATGGAGAATTTCCACATGCAGTCAAATCAAGTGAGAGAGGGATTCTCCCAGAATGCATTGCGACTGGGCCTGAAGAGCGGCAATGTGTAAAAATGTGGCCTTTAGGTATTTTTATTATGTCAAATATGTCAAATCTGATTAAATCTGGATCTTCTACAAAGTAAATTGATTACTGTTATTAATTTCATGATGATTGAATTAGCTTAGTGTATTAACAACAGCAGATACCATGAATGCACTGGACTACAGAATGACTCTCATGCCTGTATTTTTCTTTAGTCGACTACTGCAACTCGCATCAACCTCCTGGCTTTCATTTCTAAATGACCATTACCCAATCAAAAGCACTTTGAGACAAGCGATAGTGTTACAGCAGAAGTAATGGGATAGGAGCCATGTCTGATAGCTGCACATGAGTCTTTTATATCTACTTACATTCTTATTACAAGGTAAAGCGAGGTGTCTGGATTCTCTAGTTGCAGAGTCTAATCACTTTGAGTGGATATAGGTTGCATGCTCACTTTAGCATGTGATAGCCAGGGTTTGTACTGATAACCAGGGGTTCAATGGGGCTGGTTCCAAGGGGTGGCCTACGCTCATCAGCCTTTTCAACAATGTATATGTTTGCATTTTAAATGTGTCCTCTGCTCATAGAAAACGCCCCTGCACTAATGTAATTAAATGTATTATATCAACAAATGTCACATAACTGTATTATGTTAGTTGAAAGCAATAATATTAACTTGAACGTAATATATTTAAACGTAATATTATTGCTTTCAAATAACCTAATACAGTTATGTTGTGAAATCTGTTGATATTGTACATTTAATTAAAGTCAACTGATCAGTTTTTTCAGTGTGCATATTAAATCAAGCGCACCCGAAACATCCAGATACTACCCAGCGTTAGACCACCTTCTTTTTGAATTAAACCGCTCAGAGACTAAACTTTGCTCATTGCCGATTAATAATTAAAGTCTGTACTAAAGTTAAAGCTTTAAGGATAATTAATAAAGCAAATAAACAAACAATAACCAAGCAGAACCATATGGTCAATAAAAGATCCCCCATTGTCATACCACAAACCCCCACATACACCAGGTGCCCAAAACACCATTAACCACACCCATGTGACGATCACCGGAAACAATCAATTACCAATGTGTGTGGTGTTAACAAGCCATGAGAATAATAAAACAATAAACGCAGGCTAGCTTAGCATTTTGGCTCCGACACATAATATGAGGTTAGCTCCACCCTGCTAGTTTGCGCTTCATACGGCTGTTATCTGATTGGTTGCGTGTCAAAAGGTCAGCGGCAATCAAGGTTAAAGTTGAAATAATTTGAATTCTGTCCAGAGGAAAACAACGGGAACGTCAGCCCAGAGTTGTTTTACCCCTGGTAATGTGGAGGCAGATTTGGAAAGGTTCTGAATTGACTATTGATGAGATGTCATCCCTTGTCTTTTTGACCAGCTGTAGTTGGTCGGCATGGTGAAGGTGGCGCTTCAATCCAACCACCCAAATCCTTCCCGAAATATGGAGAATATCTTGTTTAACATGCTTTGTATCATCAGTCATTTACACCAAATGTTCTCAACAGCACAATATGATATATCATCTTAATCTAGCCTTATCATTTTGATCTCAAAGTGCACCAGATTGTTGCATTAAGCTTTCAAATGAAAGATTCAAGTGGAATGTTTGTGTAAATATTCCTGTGATTTACATTGCAATACATATTGTTCTAAATGTAATTTTACAAAGTTATTTTTTTCTAATATGGTGAACCCGTAATTTGTTAACAAAAGCTGTGCTCTATTGTATATATTCTATATATTATATCTATATATTTTATCACCAATTAATAATGATGAGAAATAATCTTGACCTCCCTCTGTTGAAACAAATCCCAGTTTATACCTATAGAAAGTTATTAATTATTCCTTGTATATAAACCACGTAATGGTTATTATGGACATGCAGGGCAGGCAGCATCTAAGAGAATCTGGTAAGTAGTATAAAGAACGACAAAGTCCGCAAAAGTAGGGTGTCACATGTGAAACCAAGTCAACGCAAATGCAAACGTCTTTTTTTCTTTAACATAACTTACAAACTGAACTAAAGGCAGGTACGTAAATTACAAAATGAAATGTACAGAATCGTATTGCTGGACATTCTTCGGAAATTACTAAACGTTACCATAAGATATCGTACGAGGTGAAGTACAAGTAACGCTGCATTTGACCTGATTTGCATGTATGCAATCTGTACATGAACATTTGGCACATTTATACGGTTTACAAAAAAAATCCTAATTTATTTATTGAGCTAATCAATTGGAAATGAATCAATTCATATACAAAATTGTATATATACATATATTAAGGTATTTGAAACTGACTATATTTTCTCCAGATATGAGCTTGCTGACATCTATGCTACATGCTTAATATAGTCATTACCATCAGCGCTTCAAGCTGCTATTGCTGAACATTAACATATACAGTAGTTATCTCAAGTTGAGGTTTCTAGGTTTGTTGTTTTTCAGATACTTTTGGAACTCTACAAGTCTCAAAATGTAAACTACCACCTATACCCAGAACGATTGGTTGCCCCTGTTGATTGGAGAATAAGATGAACAGTATTTACTCGTAGAAAATGGTAAATCTAATTTGTCAACAGGTTCAAAAATGAAACCCTGTTAGCTGAATAGTTTGGTTTTGATATCCTTGATTGAACAAAATATGGATCCTGTTATATTAAGTTGTATTGCACCACATCTAACAATAGCTAATAATCAAATTTGGTTTATAATGTGTAATGAATGTTACAGCCTTATCGGTCCATAGATTGTTGTTTTTATCTATGATGGCATTGGGTTATCAGTAGAAGTACACAGTACACAAAGATGACCTTGTTTCCTGCTCTTCATGGGCAGCTCCAGTACGCAACAATCCTGTCTCGTAGCAGTAGCAGAACAAATATGGACCAATTTCTAAATTTGTCTTTATTCAAAATTACACAAAGTAGCAGAGTACATTATAATAAATCATGGGAGGTCAGAGCCCATTAAGATCAATGACACTTCTCGGCTTGGAAAATAATATCGGTGACCATGCTGCTGCTAGAGACATCCTGTTGTTATAAATAGAGTCTGACTATACTCACTGCCAACTGTGCCAGTTTAAGCTGTTTTGAAGTGGGAAATAATGACAGGCATGACAGAACATTTAGTTTGTATGATAACAAGAGGAAAATCTAACAAATAAAGTACCCAGTCTGAGTCACTGGATGGGACGTTCTGTAGATCTCATATAGTTTAATGAAAACCATGCAATTATTCGACATAGCAGCAGCCTGCATCCCTGTGATCAGGTGACATCAATAAAAAGGCGTTTCTGTTATTTTCTCCTAAATTGCAAAATCTTCCTTAAACAAATTCAGCCTCAAAAGAGACCTTTGTTGAATAATAACATATTTCAAAAGTCAAATAAATGTAGTTCATGAAAAAAGAATTGTGTCACTTTTCCACCATACAGGGTAAGGCATTATGTTCTCTGCTGTCAGGGGCTGACAAGATGAATCAAGTATTTAAACGGAAAATGAACTCAAGTCATGTATCAAGCAAAGTGTTTAACATTGTCTGGTTCCAGCTTCATGTTTAAAGCTTTTCTAGGTTTGATATCTTTGTAGAGAAATTGAAATATTACTTTGACAGTTCACAGACCAGCTCTTTGATGCAGTAATCAGACTCATCTGTGGCTGCAACTAATGACTGTATTATTCACATTTCAATAAATTAAATAAAGTTTTATGTTCTAACAAAAAATCTAAATTGAGGGGAAATTTCCATCACATTTTTTATATCATTTTTATGTATTTGTTTTATATACAAATTGAAATATTTAATTCACACTGATATTTAATACAATAATTCCATTGAATGTTTGGCTTTTTGACCTAATTGGTCAAATCATTATGAATGAATAGTTGCTGATATACTTTCTACATCAAATTTCTAAACTAATATATTAATGAACTTAGAATTTTCTGAATTAAACAATAAAGACAATAGTTGTTAGTTACAGCTGCCAGGTCCAGGTTTGATCCCACTCTGAGACACTCTGATGTTGAAGCATCCCATAGCTGCAGACTGCATCCTCCTCATCACCTGCTCCTGCATGAGCTCTGATCATTTGTCCTAATTTACCAAAACATGTTATCGGATAAAAACTGCAGTCCAATAGACTCCTCCTCTAACAGCCCAAATTAAATATCATAAACATTACAACCTCTTAAAAGTAGGCCTATATCTTGAATGGTTTTGTATTACAAGTGTTATGTTTTATGTATTTGAAGTTATATGTCTCCATCTCTCATTCTGTCCAGCAACATGGAAGTATAGGATGGATGAATGGGACTACATTGATGACCATGACCTTAATGCCATGATATAAAGCAATATATGTCCAGATTTGTTTACAGCTGGGGAGGTGAACCTGTCTCTTACAGGAATATAATACATCTAAAATAATTTCCCAAGGTTTAAGCCACATATTAATCAGTATTGTGTGTCGTCATGAGTGATACCAGCAAGATAACCGTGCACGGACAGAGCCCAAATAATCCCACAAGGTCACTATCCCGTGATCACGGAGAAGACCTTTAAAGAATATTACATAATAGCATAGGAGATTAAAATCAAACAATACAATAGACACGTCACGATGTACCCAGAGGGCCTACTAAGCACCAGCGAACACCGCTCAATAGGGATGCTGAAGGCTGGTAATTTTCCTATAGGACAGCGCGGAGCCATCCGTTATCTAACCGGTTTGCAGCCGGTATCCAGCCGCGTTCTCTGCGGGTCTTACCGCGGATGATGGCCGGTGGTGGTGTCCTTGGTGTCGGCGGGTCGGAGGATGGCAGGCGGTTATCACGGCTGATGCACGGAGCTGCACAGTTCCGGTGATGAATGAAAGACAGACAGACCGGGTCTGTGGGTGATACACTAGAGACACAAGCCCCTCCCCTCCCAGTGCCCTACGTCAAACCACCGTACTGGACTCACTGGAGCTCAGCATCCCGCAGCCCTCCCCCCTCTCTCTGTGTGTGTGTGTGTGTGTGTGTGTGTGTGTGTGTGTGTGTGTGTGTGTGTGTGTGTGTGTGTGTGTGTGTGTGTGTGTGTGTGTGTGCGTGCGTGTGTGTGTGTGTGTGTGTGTGTGTGCGCGTGTGTCAGTATCAAAGGGACGTGCAGGGACTTCCAAGGAGCGTGAGCAGTTGCGTAGCGTCAAATTTCTCCTTTTTTTAGGGAATTGAGTGGCAGAAGGAAGTTTTTATAAGAGGTTTATTATTATTTTTCATCAAAAATTGGGGAATACATTTGAACTTTTGTATCCCTTTTTTCGTTAATTGACTGTAAGTTTTTAAGAGGATACAAAAGTGCCTGAAATCAACTTAAAGACATCCTTGTAAAGATAGATAGATAGATAGATAGATAGATAGATAGATAGATAGATAGATAGATAGATAGATAGATAGATAGATAGATAGATAGATAGATAGATAGATAGATAGATAGATAGATACTACCAATATACTACAGAAACAGAAATGTAACAGAAATGTAGACATAGGATATTATATAAATTACAGTTAAACTAGGGCTATACTATAAATAGCATCCTGTTTAAACTTCAGTATGGACCTCAGAAGACACACATTGATCTGCTTCAAATATATGGCGTGTGGCGCAGTGAGTTAGTGCGCTGATCTTCAAATCAGAGGATGGCAAGTTTGAGTCCCACTGCAGTCAGCATGTCGTTGTGTCCCTGTGCAAGACACTTCACCCCAAATTGCTCCTGTGGGGATTGCCCACAGTATTGAGTATGTAAGTCGCTTTGGATAAAAGCATCTAACAAGTAACATGTAATGTAATGTAATGTAATATGGAAGTCAGGATGTTAGCAATAACTTTATGTATTCAGTTCTTTTGTTTGTGTGTCAAGGGGATTATGGAAAATTACTACCACAAATTCCAAGTTGAAAAGATGAAGCACTGGACAAGGAAGAAACCCATGTTATTTTAAGCAGAACCGAATCACAGGGTCATGAACACATTCTTTTTCACTTGCATAACATTGTGATATAGGGCATGGCCTTGGCAGAGGTCTGTGACTCAGAGCACCCTTTTTATATTACTTGTAACTGTTTGACAGTGAGCAATTTGTCCACGCTTCTTCATGGAGTTCCTCAAGGATCTATGCTTGACCCACTGTTTATTTTAAATGTTTATAAATGTCCTGTTTGTTGCTGATGATACCAATATTCTAGCTTCATGTAAAGTTAAAAATACAACAAATCCCATATATTTTTTATTGAACATTTTACAAATATGAATGGATAACTGTACACATTTTTTTTTCTCAGTTAAACCAAGAAAAAAACCAAAACACTTAATAATAAAACCACAGAAATAAAACAGATATTATGCAAGTATTTGTTCTACTGTTAAAACAGTTATGTTGAGTGAATTAGCAAATTATCAGTAGGTTTTACCATCTAAAATAACCTGCAAAGTACCTTGAAAATAATACTAGGAGCAACAGGCTACAGACATGCTCTAGGTTGTGGAGGGGCCTTTGTGTGTTTATGCAGGGGCCCATTGTTACATAATCAGTCCACGTACAATGGAGTTTCTCTTCTATCAGTAGGAAATTAAAAGCAAGGGATACGGTCTGCTCAGAACTCAGTTTAAAGCACAGTGGAAACTCATGTATTTAAAATGAATCAGCCTGTATCAAAAAAGCTTGGAAAAACTAGCAATTGAGACCACAAACTTGTAAGGACATTTTTTAATTGGGGTAATAAATCGAGAAGGTGATTTTTTTATAGACTTCTATAGAATGGGACTTTTTTTGCAAGTTGCCCGTTGCTGGCATTTAGAGAGAATGCAAATGTAAGGCACCTCCACATTGGCTTCAATTTCCAGACCCGGGGGTGGCCGCTTTAATTATCCACACATGACCAGGGCCCTTATAACAGCTCAGTGCGTCCAGCAGTGGAACCTTGTATGAGCTAATGTATTGACTAGCAGATATGCCCCCATCTGTGTAATCAATGCCTCTGAACAGGACCACACTGCTGATGCCCACATCGCATTGATTAAAAAAGTAATTTAGTTTATTAATGTCCTCCCAATTCCCATCATAGGATGGCTCTGACCTCCTGGGTAATTACCAGAAATGTGCCTCATACTGTTTCCAAACTCAATGACATCATGGCCTCATTTTATTTATTTACTCGTGTGCCCTTTCTTTGTTATGCTTTTTCTCATGTACATTTCAGTATTAAACAGTTGGAAAGGGCTTAGACCTAGACTTCAGGACAACCCGTTTTCCAACTTGTTCACAGTGCATCAACAGAAGTCATTACATCTTTATATATACAAGTCCTAAAAACACTAGTTATTTCATGGGTTTTAAGATCTCTAAAAAGGAATGAAAGTGCTGCATTTCTATCTATAAGAAACAATAGTGCCTCTTAACACCATTGGTCTCTTTTGTCACAATTTCCCCAAAAATCTGAGGCTGCTATTATGTATGAACACTCATAATGCAATGAATGAATGATAAATGAATGAAGCCTTTATTATGGTGTCATGCATAATATATTCTCAGCCCACACTGGCTATTAAGACACCAAAAACTCATCCATCTGCACTATTTAAACAATACGACACAAATGTGCTATGAAATACTGAAGAAATCTGAGCTTGTTTAATTTTTTCATTGAGGGTTTTTATTCTTAGTTAATCAGTATCAAGAGGTTACTTAAAGTGGACCTATCATGCTATATTTGAATAATATAGTGTAGGACCATACCTATATAAGGCATATTTATACTTTTTTTTCTTCAAAATACCAAACAGATCATGCATTTGAGCCATGCCTTATTTAGCTCAATTTGACATTTTTTAGCTCTGTTTTTGCAAGGGCAGATTATGTGAGTACAGCACCATCTACAGGCCTGGCTGTCTCCTCCTGATTGGTGGAGTTGGCCCAATAGCCGTAGCGCCACTGTCCTGACGTCAGGACAGTGTTCAAATCTGGATCAGTTTTTATCAGATCCGTTGCAGCCCCTTTTTTAGAGATTTGGGTATGGAGGAAAATAGAGAGGGTTGTGTTTTCTGACACTTGGTGAGTTCCCTGGAACACCGGGGACACATATTCATGTATAAAAGACGTACAAAAGTGCATTTTGCATGATAGGTCCCCTTTAAGAATGAATTACACGTAGCATATTGTAGCACAATGTGAACATGTTTACTTTAACTTCTTATGTTTATATCGATCTCTTTATTTTATTTTTTCATACATTTGTACACATTCTTACTTTAACATCATATGTTTACATTAATCATTTTATACTTTTTGTGTATTTATCTTTTATTTATTTCATTCTTAAATGGAGGAACTGACCTTAAACCCAATTAACAATGGGAAGAATAAAGTATTTTGATTCGGTTTAAATGTATTAAATATGTGTAGCTGCGCATAGTTCATTTGGTAACTTTGGGGTCACTTGCTAAAGACTGCACAACCATTCATTCTACACAATGTGTGCTTTGTTGTCCTCTATTGTTTCAAATGGGAACTGCAGTTAGTAAAAGTGAAAGGCACCATACCTCTGCTCCTGCTGATGTCGCTGTATGTTATGGTTTAGCAGAGATGGCAAAAGTACACACATCCTTTAATCAAGTAGAAGTACAGATACTCGTCTTTAAAAATACTCTGGTAAAAGTAGAAGTACTGACTAAACTTCTTTACTCAAGTAAAAGTAAAGAGGGCTTTGAAATGTACTTCAGTAAAAAGTACCCATAACTAGCAGCTGTTTTAAAGAGTACCTGACCTCCCTTTATATTAATAGAACAATAATGTCATTGTTAGCTAATGAATGTTTCCATGCTGAACAACGGCAAAATGACAAGGTTTTCATTGGTCCCTCTTCTTTAGAGAAGACCAGGAAATGATGGATACACGGATCGTGTTCAAATCAATAGGCACGCAATGACTCTAAATAATAATGATCACGCCACCAAACAAACACACATTAAAACTAAAGTAAAAAGTCTCTGCTCAGATCTAGTGATGTTACGTACTGCGCCGAGGCTTCGGAGCGTGGTTCGAGAAATCCAGGAAGTCTTTGGTGAAGCGTGTATCGAGGTTTGTATCGTTTTAGGCCAGTGACGTCATCGATGACAAACGAAGTCTCGCTGCCCATCGATACCGCGTGGCTGCTTCAGATAGAGCTTCAGATCGGTTGAACCCAGGGGCGCCGTAAGGGGGTGAAAAGTTAGGACGATTCTAATGGCGCATTTCCACTACACGGTCGGCCTCGGCCACACTCGGTACGGCTCGGTACGGCTTGGCCGCGTTGGGCCTTAACAGGGCCGACTCACTTCATGCTGCGCTTCCATTACAGTTTAGGAACTGGGGTAGTTACTATAGTAACGCAGTGTAGGCGGAGCCGTGACGTCATCTTCAATGAAAACTCCAGAAACACAACACAGCCGTTAGCTGTGAGCACTCAGAGCTCACAGCTCCTTATATATGTTAAGAAACTCGACAAAAGTTAAACAAGTACACACCACAGACTGCCTGTGTCATGGTGAATACAGTCGCTGCTTTATTTATGTCTGTATAGGCCGTTGTTGTGAGTGTGGACGGTCAGAGCATATACTGCGTTAGCTTAGCCAATCTCCATCTAGAAAAACACGCATTTTAAAAGGTTTTTCGCCTGCCGTCTGTCTGCAGACTTGACAAAGCATTAATTCATGGTTTTTACTAACCGGTATCAGTATGTTGTTACTTCGGCATCATTTTGAAACGTGTATTACAATTAAATCACGGTCAAATATGTCCATCTTGTTGTAGTTCTAGCCCTCTTGCCAGCGCTCCTCTCTCTAGTTTAGCATACTCAGCCCGACTCAGCCCTGTTTGTTGGCCCCGATAGAACCACAATTTTCTAGGGCCAGAAAAGAGGTGAAAAAGTGGCCCCGCGCCGTGCCGCGCCGGAACCAGGCCTAGTGGAAGCACAACCAAAAAAGGGGACGGCACGACACGGCACGCTTAAAGCGAGCTCCGCGCTGCAGTGGAACTGCGCCATAAGGGCCCGTGACTGACAGGGGCCGAAACCATTTTAGAACATTAAGAAAAAAATGTTTAAGTAACCAATGTGATTATCTTTTCATGGGGCCCAAAATCCCTGGCGGCGTCCCTGGTTGAACCACTGACACTTCACAGTTTTACAACATTCATATTACCACGATGGGATCAAGAGAGCTCAAACCATCACTTATATAGAGGACGGAACATGACATATGTATAAATAAATAAATGCATAAATAAATGTATGAATAAAAACATGAATATAATAAATAAATAAGGCAATAAATAAATACAGGAATAAATAAATAGACAAATAAATAAATGTAGAGATAAATACATTTCGAAATAAATACATAAACGTTGAGAATAAAACAGAACATATATTATTATAAATCTTTAATATATTTCTACATTTAAGTTCACTTACATTTATTTATTGGGGGCGTCTCCGTATTATTTTTTTGAATTATTATGTTATTGTTTTTGTATATATTTAATGTTTTTTATTTATTTATTGCATTTTTATCATAACTTTTGTATTATAATTATTTTGTGTGTATTTATATTATTTTATTTTGTGTTATTATTATTATTATATTATATGTAGTATTTTAAAAAATCTTTATTTTTTATTATAAGTTGTTGTATTATTATATTATTATTGTTTTTATTATTGTTTATTTAAATATTATTAATATTTTATCAATATTCATTATTATTTAATTATTAATTGTTTATGTATTGATATCGTCTTTTTATTTAATTCATTTATTCATTGTATTTTTACTTGTTATTTCTTTATTGTCATTATAATTACAACAGGGGGGGTTTGTGCTCAAATGAAGCCTCATGAGATGAACCCTTTTGCAAACCAATTGGCTGGAAAGCTTCAAAGTTTCGTAAGGCTTCATCTCGCCATCACTAGTTACTACCTCACGTACACTTAATAGATTTGTATTCACAATCGTGTCAGAATGGTCTTAGAGGGTGTTGCAGTTCCCTCTAAAATGGAGATATTAATCATATCTCATGGTTCTCCATTCATCATGTTCTGAATCTCATTATTGGGGTAACAGGTAAGGATGTACCTCACTGAAGATATCAGTTCCATGATATGAGAAACATTAAGATCAGTACGTACAGCTGTCTTACTCGCAGTGCACAATCACAAATCTTTCTCTTAATCTCAAATTGGTGTGTCGTAAAGTTTTCACATTGTTCGATCAGTTAATCTCTATAGGACACGATTCACAGTGGTAATGTGATAAAGTGTAAATGATTATGATCTAACAAAAGAAAAGGCATAACTCACTATAAAGTGTAATTTCACAAAGACTAAGAAAAATATCAAGATGTTCACTACACCTCCAGCTCTTCCTAAATTTGACAATGAAATTTGTCCTGAACAGAAAGATTGTGAGTATAATTAAAGAACTCATCCTACATTTCTTTCCAATTTCCAATTTCCAATTGGCTTTTATCTCTGGATAACATTCATTTTTGTGATGTTATGAATTGAATATAATATGAACCAACTATCCATAAAATGTACTTAATGTCTTCACTGAAGGCCTTATTAAGTTTCATCTCAAATTAAACAAGTAGCTTATCTAGCCATTTTCTATTAGATTTGTATTCACAGTTATGTCAGAATGGTCTTAGAAGGTGTTGCAGTTCCCTCTAAGATGGAGATATTAATCATATCTCATGGGTCTCCATTCATCATTTTCTGAAATTCCTTATTAGGAGTAACGGGTAAAGATGACACAAGTTTCATGATATGAGAAACAGTAAGATCAGTACGTACAGCTGTCTTACTCGCGGTGCACAATCACAATAGATAGATAGATATAGACTCTATAGGACATGATTCACAGTGGTTAAGAGTTAACTAAAGAAAAACACAGCATAACTCATATCACGTTTGAGATATATCTGCCTGTTTTACACACTTTGACCAACAGGGGGGTTTGTGTTCAAATTAAGCCTCATGAGATGAACCCTTTTGCGAACCAATTGGCTGGAAAGCTTCATAAGGCTTCATCTTGTCATCACTACTCAGATCCCCCGGAAATATCGAGGCTGGGGGTGCATACAATCATAATCAAGTCAGAAATCAAACTTTAGCTTGAATTACAATTTACATGTAAGGAAATGTTCATTTTAAATACAGTCTTTCAAAAGAAGATAAACATATTTTGGGGGAAACCCTGAAACCTAAAGTTCTATTTTACACAGGCTCCGCCCTCTACTGGACTCTATGGGTACTACTCTCATCAATGATACGCGAGCGTTCACACACTGAAGTTGTATAAACGTAGCCGGCCAATCGGGGCGAGCCTACCTGAATGCGCGCGCAGGCCCACAGTATATAAGGCGGCTACGCCTCCTGACTGTCATCCTTTTCTCTTCAGCGAGCAGGACAACACCTGACAGAGAAAAGTAAAACGTTTGAAAGAAGAGGAAAGAAGTTATCATACCTTCATGGAGTCTTCTAGAGACCCGGGCCTGTCCTTCGTGCCCTGGCTTAATAGCGGGCGCCGATCCCCACCACCTCTGCTTCAAGTGTTTGGGGGACCAGGATATGGCCGAGGCGGTGCCATTCACGTTCGCCATTCACGTTCGCCATTCACGTTCGCCATTCACGTTCGCCATTCCAGCAGGGCGGATGGCTCAGTTTGCCGGGGAGGAGGATGACGAGGACTCTCGTTGTCGGGCACTTCCGGGTCCAGTGTCCATGGCAGTCCACCGCCCAGGTCTGTCCGCCGGGACTTCCCCCTGGTGATGACAATGGCGGCGGAGCGTGTAGGGCTACCGCCTCAGGGTGCAGGGCCGCACGGACACAGTGTGTCCCGGCGTGGCCCCCCTTGATGAGCTTACGTTCTCCCCATGCTCCTTAGGGACTTGGGAAACGTAGTGCGCAGTGTTAGTCACTTATTAGTCGCTTATTCAGACCAATTAGGCTCTACCCAGCCAAGTAAGCTGCGGCCCCGACTTCTCCACGGTCGCAACCGGATGATGGGAAGTTGGGGTGCGGTGGCTGTTAACCAAAGGCCGGTCAGGGGCAGTGTGGCGGATCGATGTTGTAGGACGACAGGGCGTTTATCCATCGGGGCTCCACCCACTGTACCCATAGAGTCCAGTAGAGGGCGGAGCCTGTGTGAAATAGAACGATAGGTTACGTATTGTAACCCTAGTTCTATAAGCACAGGCGGAGCCCTCTACCTAGGGGCCCTGTCTTTCCTATGCCGCTCGCTGAAGACGATGTAGGATGACAGTCAGGAGGCGTAGCCGCCTTATATATTGTGGGCCTGCGCGCGCATTCAGGTAGGCTCGCCCCGATTGGCCGGCTACGTTTATACAACTTCAGTGTGTGAACGCTCGCGTATCATTGATGAGAGTAGTATCCATAGAGTCCAGTAGAGGGCTCCGCCTGTGCTTATAGACTAGGGCAGGGGTCGGCAACCCCTGGCACGCGTGCCACCGTAACCAGTGGCACACTAGGAATAAGTGGAATAAGTGTACAAAATATTTATTTTATTTTCGGATCCTGAACGAGACCGCCGCCAGAGCGCGTCTCCCCGTTACCTGCAGAAGGAAGCCATGCACGCAGCGCAGCCCCACTCTCTTTAACTCCAGGCGACTTTCTGCCGCTTTCCTCCGTAATGCAGTGCTGATAGTTTCACCACAGAGGAAAGCACTTCACAAATTGCATTAAGGAGCTGTAAAAATGCCGCAGTTTTTGCGTGGCGATCGATATTGGCCGATACTCACTCTCTGCCGATCGATCGGTGCTCTCTAAAAAGGCCAATCGCGAGACGTAACATACATGACACTTTTCTCTGTGTGCGGCAAAACAAGCTCGCCAAAATCGCTTCACTAGTCTGGCAGTATTTTAAGGTGTCCGAAAATGACAATAAAATAGCGGTGCAACTGAAGCAGAAATCCTGCAGCTCCACCCGCTGTGACGGACCGGTGAGCGGAGCAAAACACACAAGAGTTAGACCTAACACACTTAGCTATTTTATCTACCTTTGGAACTAGTTATAAATATATTTATTCTTCACTGTCACTCATTACTGGATCAGTGAGCTGCATGAGATACTGACAGGCTGTCAGGAGAGAGAGAGAGGGGGAGAGAGGAAAAGAGAGCGCTTCCGCTCATTTCTCCCGTGTTATTATCCAAAGTTAATGTAAACTTGAATAATGTAGGCTACTTCATTTGAATGTAACAATTATGTTGGTTGTTGTTTGTGGAAGCGCCAGTGAATGAGCCCCATTAACTGAGTTTTAAACATCACTTTTCACGAGTGTTTTTGTCGAGCCCCCCCCCCCCGTTGATAATTCACGATCGTCGGCACGCTGATAAAAAAATGTTTTTAGAATGGCACTTCATATCAAAAAGGTTGCCGACCCCTGGACTAGGGTTACAATACGTAACCTATCGGTGCAAGCCCTCTGAATTATTCGGATGTGGGGGGCTCCATTAACGTTAAAATTCATTTAAAAAAAATCTGCATTTTGACTTAATAAAAGACTTCATGTCCACTTCAAATAAAGTCTTATTTAATAAGATTCTCCTCAATCACCAACAATTAAATTGAATATTAAAATATATTTAAAGACAATTCATATCTAATAATTCCTCATGTAAATCTCTATTTTGTTGGAGTTTAAGTTTCTGCTTTAGCAATACAACTATACAAACTGCAAATTGCATCCTAACATGTAACTACTGAATACAATGAGTCAACAGTCACATGGAAAAGGGGAGTCAATTTGGTAAACTGATTTAAAAATATTCTCTTATTTAAGTCTTTGATTAAATACAAAAGAAAAGCTAAATGAGTTTACTTGTTAACACAAAGTTAACACTTTCATTATTATATGATGAGTACTACTAAAAAATAAGTTGCTAAATCCTTTCTGTTAAAGCATTTGGTTCTTGACTCTTAATAAGTAGTTTTAAGATTAGTTTTAAAAGTGTTGTCACATTCAATATAAAATCCTACCAAAACAAACACTTTCAAGTTGTGAGGGACAGTTATAGTATGAAGATGTATTTAAAGTAGAAATAAGCCATCATTTAATCATTGTTTTAAAGCAAGTGTTATCATTCCAAAAGAGCACTTAATGTGTCATCATGTCACTATGACCACAGATATGAAGTATTTGTATTTGTTATTATAACATGATTTGAGGAACTGGCTCACAGATAACACTTTACTGAATGGGGCTTGTGGATCTGGGGGCTTTTTTCTTTTGAGAGGAAGTAGCTTTTGTCAGTTACTCTTTAGATGCAGGAGCAGCGGGATCCAGGGAAGCCGTTTGAATTGTTGGAGGAGTGCCCAGTTCGGACTGAAGCAGTCTTTTCAGGGTTGCTGCTGGGGTCTAACTGTGACTGTCTTATTGGTGTTTTTACGCAGTTTCATACAGCCTCATCCAGGTCAGGGTGAAAGTCCGGCATGTGATCTCTGTGGCATTTCCAAGGCTGCAATAATACCACTTGTACTGTAAAATACTGACTCATTCTTGAACACTGGAACATACACAATAAACAAAGATTCTTACATTTTGTTATCACATTTCAATAATTTTTGTCAAAAATCTTTATGTTATACACATATTTGAGGTCTGCTTTTTTGTAGTAGTCGAAAACGTTGTTAAAATAAGTTTCTCAGTATATCTGTTTATAAAATAGGGAAAAAATACATCTTTCATCTATTTTTCATATCATATTTGTGTTATTTATATCAACCTTATCCATAAAATGGAATATGGAAACCCCTTTGAGAAACTACATTTCCCTGCATGCCTTGTAAGCTCCAATTTGACAACCAGCCAATCCGCGCCATGACAGGCCGGCACGTGACGTAGGGCAAGTTCCTGCTGTGGCTTGAGGGAAACAGATCGACATTGTGCCACGGGAGAATCGCACTTTGCGGGTAAGTTAAGACATTTGGCCACAACGAGGCCTATTGAGTCCATATTAAGTGTCCTTCGGAGGGGTTTGCCGGAGCTTTCTGTGAACTGGGGGTCAGAAATAGCCTGCATTTCGGATGGAACAAGCTGTCTTACCGTGTAGGCCTTCGCTATTTCCTGGTGCAACTCCACAGCTGTGTGTGTGTTGGAATGGCAGAGTTGGAAAAGTTCAGTTTAGGGGGTTTTGCTGGAGCTTTGTTCTGTTCCACCCCGCTTTTAACTGTTCTGTAAGCTCGCATTCAGCCATAAGCGCTGCCCTGTTATGACACCGAATGCGTTCGCGATAGTGGACATGCCTAAAAGCCTCCCTTTGGCAGTGTGTTCATACCTTGGAGCTGGATACCCACACCGCAAACTGCTCCAAAGCTGTCAGGGTCTGTTAGTCCGTGGATAATGCTAGCTAACCGCGCCACCCTGAATTACACTATACCACAAGCATTTTAACTGCTTTTAATGAAAGCAAATGCATTCAACTTCAACTCCTCCTTCGTTGTTTCACTATATTATCATTGTATCTCTTTGTGCTCACAGTTCAAAGTAAGTATTTGAAGAATTAGTCCGTTTTGTCGAAGTGAAAGTGTTAGCTTAGTTGTGAAAACATCCTTTCCAGCTACTGTACTGTACAGGTCAGCAGGTCAGAAGCAGCTCCTGTGCTGAAGGACACAAAACACCTCTAGCATGACATTAACACTTGTTACAGTGGAATTGAATGGGATATATGCCTTTTATAATATTTCAATAGTTGCCATTTGAATGTGTTTCTGTTGGAAGCCTGTCAGTGAGTGCACACTCAGCAGCTGGCTTATTCATGTGTTCTGGAGTCAGATCAATGCATCAGCATGGGGAGTGTTATTGACACATTTATAGTTAGCAACAGTATGGATCTGCCTTAGAGTTGCATAAGTGTTAATGTTAGAGACTGCTAAATCTTTGTCAAAATTCTGTACTAGTTTTAAGTCAAAATTAAATACATTTTAGTGTCATTTCCATTATATATTTTGGTTTATTTAAAGTGCACATCGGAAACGGAAAGCTAAAGTGGGGAGATATTTGCTGAATTCTACCCAACTTGTATTGGATCCAATTTTAATCGAACAGAATACTGGAATATTATTTAGAATTTTTGGTCCTCAATATTTTTAAGTAGTTTGTGTTATACACATTTCAGATGTAACAGTAGTGAGTTTAATTCTCAGTTCTAAGATATAGGTCGTTTTACTTCGTGGTATTTCAAATTTTCCACGAACTATCAGTTTAACTAGACTAAAGTAACCTCAGTATTTAAACTACACCCTTCTGCCTCTAGCTTTACCACCGAATGAGGAAGCATTCATTGTTTGTAGTTTCATGCACTTAATGCAAGTATTCATGCATATAAATAACAATAACACATAACCAGATTATCCGATTTTAATCATGATGTTTAAATGTCAGTTCATCGACCTCTCTAACTTACTGCTGTCCATCGAACCTCAATGTCCACCCTCTGAAAACATTATACTGTTGCCAACAACACACCTTTGTACACAGGCTTTTCCCAACTGTCAGCCACCAAAACAAATATTGAAGAGACCGGATTTAAAACGACATCCACTTGGTTACTTATCATATATTAAAAGACGTACGCCCGGATTTCTGTCTTGATATTTCGTTTTTGGTGGCAATGGCTTAAGAAAATGTTTTTCCACTTGCCAAGATTTCTAAATAAAATGTTAGTTTCACTTCCTTTATATACTTTCTCTCCATCCGTATTACTCACATCCTCCATGACTCACCAATGCGTTTATTCCCACTTTCCCTCTCCCTTCCCTCCTTCAGAACACATGTTCAGACAGGCTCACAGTGACAGGTATCAATGGAGCACTGTCCCTAAGCAGAACAGGAATAATCCACCTTTTGACAGTGTATCTGCCTATGAATACAGTTGTTTAATATCTTCTGTGGTTGATCCTCAATTAATTTTGACATTTCAAATGTTTAAAAACAAATAAGCTTGAGCTCAAACATGTGAGCAGTTTTGCGTAATGCAGGTTCTAATTGTAAGTGTTATGTTACATTATGGGAGATGTAGGATCCAGTGGTTTTGGAACTTTTTGAAAAACCCTTCTTTTGTTACATCTCTCTCTTGTGACACCCCACAGCTTAATGATAAAGGGGATACATTGCTGGATTTCCTCTTAATTGGGGTAGTTTCCACAATATCAGCCAAATGGAAAAAAACTCTTGTGGCTGCACATTTATAGTATATATATTTACTGAATATATTATGATATCCCCTAACCTGCTTGCTTTAGCTGGATAATAATATCATAAAAAGATTGTTCCATTGCTTTGAACAAATATATCGCTCTGTGCTCTTTATCTCTTTTCATATGACCGTCAATGAGAGCCGTACCAGTCTATCCAATGGTCAATATTAGCTTTTCATCACAGATATATTCCTATCAGCGTATGTCGCCTCTATGTTTGTGGTTCTTAACAAACAGGTCTTTCTATGACCATGTATGTCAGTGTGAATATGAGACTCATGCATGTGCGCCCGGTTCCACATTTTAATTCTAAAACGGAAGCAGGCATACATGCAGTTAGCGCTGCATAATGAATTGAAATTAAATCTCAACACTAGAGGACTAGAGTAACACATATATGTCCTGGCATACAAATAGTTTTACACATACTTTATTAAATATCTTTGTTTGGGACAGATGTTCTTAAAAAAATCGCACTTTGATCCTATCAAAAATAACTTTGAATGATAATAGAAATAACGATAAAAAAAAAGATCATTCCCCCTAATATTGTGAATCATATTGCAATTCAACATCAGTTAAAATGATGTCTCTGGGTAGCTGTATAGTTCAGTTGGTAGAGCTGGCAGGCTTGGTCTTCATGCGGAGAACCCGGGTTCGAATCCAGCCCGGGACAATTTGCTATGTGTCATCCCCTCTGTATCGCCCTTTCAACACAGTCACTTAAAGGAAGGCGGTTGCCCAAACAAATGTAAAAATAAGATAATCCCAACTAGTTATTTTTGCCAAGTTGCGCAGCTATGCACTTTACATAAATCTGATGAACAAAATGCGTGTGAATGTTCATCTGTGTGCGTAGGATACTGTTTAGCGTAGCTTACCATAAAGCTACACTACACAGCTATGTGTGCTAGCTACATTAGCTTAAATCCTGAGTTCAGCCTAAAGTTAGCCAGCTAACCTACTGCTCTAACGTTATGACCCAAATGTGTCCGGTTTCCATGAAGAAGAGTTTTCCTGTTGACTTCTGGGTAGTTCCATACAATGTATTGTTACCTTGATTAATTTTTCAGTGTCTTTTAGAAGTGTTGCCATGACAACAGTTGAGGGACAGCTGGCATCCAGCATTACTTGGAGATGTGTTGTGAACAGAACACCTATTATCACCTTACTTTTAGCCAACTATTGTGTTTACACTTGGACACGGTAATCCAATCTTTTGAAGGGGGCTAGATCATTCATTATTGATGATGCATATTAGATTGAAGGGGGCTCATTGGGCTCATTGGGCACAGGGCTTCAAACTGAGTCAACAAGGGAATATTGATCTGTCACATACATCTACACCAGCATGTCCTTTAAAGGGAACATGGTGGTGACTTTGCTCCATCGGTGCAGGATGTAATTGATTTTATTTGCAAAGATATGCGCTCTTAAGGCCCTGACACACCAGGCCGAAATCAGCCGTTTTCGTTAGTCGGACGACGAAGCGTGCCCTGACGCCCAAACTCAATTTGGTGTGTCCCGCACCGTCGGCCGTGACGCGCCTTATTTGGCCTTTCATGGCCGACGCACGGCCGATTCAACATGTTGAATCGGCCGTGCGTCGGCCACAGGCAGTCGGACAAAGAAATCACTCTGATTGGCTGTTCAGCTAGCGAATCAGTGCATGAGAAGCGAAACGGTTGCTTGAGAATGTCTTCCACAAGCAACACTCCAATGGCTGATAGCTCCAGTACCGCACGAAACATGTTTTCGATGGACGAGAGTGAAAATGGAACGGACACGCTATTTGTTGTTTGTTTAGATCACGCAGTCTGTTCTTCTTCTCTGTCTTCCGGTTGTTGCCTCTTTTGAATGACGAATACACACTACCGCCGCCTGCTGGTAAGGAGAGTTATTGCCACTCACGCATGCGCAGTTCGTACGTGCTCGGCTGAAGTCTTTGCGGTGTGTTCCAGTGCGACACATGGCCAAGACGCAGGAGAACACGGCGACGCAACAGTCGGCGAGTTCTCTGGTGACTGCTTGGTGTGTCAGGGCCTTTAGTGTATATGACCTGTCAAAGTAGTCCTAGGATGTTCAATGTTTTTTTGGATGCTTTCCTTAAACTAGAAAAAATAATTGACTTGGTTAAAAGTATTTTTATATAGGGCAATATATTAAATCATAACCTACTGTATCATGTAGTATCACCAAAATCTTTATTTTAATTTAATTTATTTGTACCTGTAGGTAGATTTGGTTTCATCTATAAGGGGGAAATGAAAATCAAATCAAAAACCTTTTTTCTCAGACTGTGTTAATACTGTATAATATTCTTCCTCTGGTTACCACTGGCATTTTGCTGACAGTATCCATGCCAACAGTATAACTGACAACTCCTGTCTTATCTGACATGATGTGTTCTGGCACTGTTGTGAAAACGTTCCGGTATCTCTCACATTATCTGCTGATGAATCCTTATAGTCTGGTATTCTCCTGACCCCAGCTTTAGAATTCTATCCTTGCTGCTGACACCACTGACAGTCTGTGTGTCTCTCTTCCTCAGCCTGTGGAACCTCCCCTCCCTGAGCGATGGCCTCACCTGTCTCAGTCTACAACTCCAACGCCTTGGACACACACATCTCCAGCGTGAGTGGATATATGCGTGTCTGTTTGCTATATCTGGTCCGGTGCATCTGTGACGACACTGTGTGCCAGCTTGTTCATGTTGAAATATTTAAATCTGGAGGAGGATACTCAGCTGGTGAGATCCCTCTTCCTTCACTGCAGAGATATTGGTTGCTGTGGCAGTTTTTACATGGAGGGAAGCCAGTGAGGGATCAGATCCTGGTCTCTGTAATAGCTCACCTACTGAATGGTCAGGTTTTCTTAACAAGAAAAGTCCAAATTGTTCAATTATATGATCATCGCCATCTACTGAAAACACATACTTTTGGGTCAATTGCCCAATATATTAAATATATTTATTCAGCAAGTGCAGAAAGATTCCTTGTGTGAACCGTGTGTTAGTCAGTTTCTCTATGAATGAATGTCCTATGTACTATTGTTCATTCTGTTTTAGTGCACAACAAATGAAGAGTCTGCATATGTGATGAATTGCAATCATAAAAACTGACTCCCATTAATGGTTAAAGACTTGCGGCAGTCATTTAGAATCTTAGTCTTTTCATTCTACGATAAGATGCGATGACACTCCATTTTCCAATCAAGTGTAAAACTTGACAAATATTTAAGACGGAAAACAAAGAAACAGACATTTACCATACCATTAAAATCACTAAAGACAATATGTTCATGACCTTTTAATGTACATTTGATCTAGGATTATTCAAATACAGTATCATTTTAAACAGTCCCCAGCTGGATTAAAACAAGTGTTTTAGCTCATGGAGTGCCTTGAATTAGGAATTGAACATATCCTTTCCTTTTTGATCCTTGTTATTTAGAAAGATGAATAAACATTGTATTTAAATCCCAAATTAAATCACTTAAATATAAGGTCCCGAAGAAGAACACTCTAATTAAAATACTAATAGTGAGGCTCTGAAGTAAACAAATAATCATTTATAACTCCAAATATGGATGAGAAGCAGCAGTGTCCTCTGTGTCACAGCTTGTCAGCTCGACATCTTAAAAAGGAAGAGTGCTGTGTTCACAGTGTCTCGTCCCACTGAGCACTAAGTCTGACCTCACTTGAACTAGCTTAAGCAAATTGCCCTTTCTCCACCGTTTCTTCCCTCAGTGGTACTTCAACTGAAAAAAAGGCACTTAATAATGTGAGAAACTGTCGCTTTTTTACCGCCTCTTTGAGCTACTGCCATTTATTCTATTAATTTCTCTGAATGCCTTGTCTTCTGTGTGTGTTTGTAGTCCTCCAGAGAGTCTCTGAAGATGGAGTTGTTAGCTGATGTGTCCCTGCTGCCGGGGGAGGAGAGAATTATAGGTGAGTACATATAGCTCCATAAAATGAAAGTGTGAAGGCATGCACATGACTCAGTGGATAAGGCCTTGTGTTTGTTCTCGGGATCATTTGTGTTTATTCGTGTTTATTCACTTAACACGGCTTCATTGATGTGGTTTATTACAATGGTATGATCCCAAAGTAAAGAATTGCTATGATAATGTAAAAAAAATGCTGTCGAATTAACTACACTAATATCTTGATTTTATAAAAAGTATGAATTCATGCTTTGTCAGGACTTTCCAAAAGACAAGAAACATTTTATTCTTCTTTTTTGGGGGGGGTTTCCTTCTCCTTTAGTGGTTATAGAGGTTTCTGTGCATGTCAATAGTTTGCAAAGGCTAACATCCCTGTGTTCCCTCAAGATTGTGTTTCTTCTGCACACGTTATTAGTGAAGGTGATGTTATGGTTTTAGCCATTATTGCCGCGTAGCCAAATCAGCATACAGTAGTTTGATTATCATCTATCTTCATGAAAGTAAATTACTTAATTAGAATGTGTTGTAGTGAATGTCACCAAGTTCATAGCTCTGACTAATTACATTCTAATTATTATGATTTAGTTGCTTGTTGCTGAGTGGGACGGTCTACAATTATACCCTCAGTGGTCACGCAGAGTGGATGTATTTATAGCCTACCTTAGCTGCACGCTTCTCTTCTCTGTTTTCGCTTCCTCTATGGTTTCTTCCCTCACACTGCCTACCAACTGTATAATGATTTCCAAAGCACAGTGCTAGTGAGGGATCTTTAAGATAAGAGAAGGTGGAATGTATAAACAATATTTGTCTCGATCTGTTTCCAGATAAAGAAACCATCTACATCTGTCCGTTCAGTGGAGCGGTGAAGGGAAAGGTGTTGATCACCAACTACAGACTCTACTTCAAGAGCTTAGATCCTGTAAGTCCTTTTAAACTCAAGACTGTGTGTGTGAGTGTCTGTGTGTTTGGCAGATGAAGGTCTTCGACACGTCTCTATGAGCTGCTCGAGTTTTGCAGTCATGACGTATTTTTGTAAGCCGATCTTGAAGTTAGCATCGCTAACCCTAACCCTTTTTGGCAACAGGATTTTTCCATAGAATCTTCGAATATTGCAGAAAATAATCTCTGTGGCAAACGCACATTTATGATACTTACAAGTTTTGTTCAGCATGGTAATCTCTACATATGTACACCATTTTATGATTTTTGAAGCGCAAGTGCAATGGCCAGAAGTAAAAAGCTAACTCTACGCAATCAAATAATGACATCACGGTCACATGGCTGCCAACGCTAAGTTAACGGTGGACTCGTTTTCAGCTTGATTACTTTTAGTAGTCCAATTTAGTCACTTGTTTCCAATCCCCATTTTTATTACGCATAAAAGCTTTGGAAATGCATCATTTACTGATGTATTTTATGTCGTAGAACGAAACATAACATCTCCTCAGCTTGTGTTAGCAACAGATCTCATTTAAGCATCTACAGTACCGCTCAAAACACGTTGGGGGAAACATTTGAACTCTTTTGGGTTTTAGGACTCATTCCTGCACCACTCTATTGCTCTGGGGCCTCATTTATAACGCCTTGCGTAGGATTGACGTGGGAAGGTTGCTTATGTAGTACAAAGCACAAAAATAGGTACATACATTTTCCGCCATTTTCCGATTCACAAAACATTGCGTACCGGCGAGGGAAGTGCGTACGGAACTCCCTACGCCTGTGTCCCTTTTATAAATCACAATCGACTCGTAACGCCCATATTTGCCTATAAATAGTCAAAGAAACGCCCATTCATTCATTCATTTTGACTGACTGCATGAAGAAGATCGCAGGAAATTACGACCGAACAGCTAAAAAAGACATCTCTCACACCGTGTCAGATTTTGGTTATTTTGGGGAGGTGGAGATAAATCATATTGTTTGGTGGATGCAGTTTGAACCAGAGTAGCAGCATGGAGGTCGGATCGTCACCAAAATAAATAAATAAGTGGTCAGAAAAAAGTTAATGACAAAAAATACACATAACCTTCCTCAGGCAGTGTGTTTGTACCGGGGACAGGAGACACCCCTTGATGAGAAACTGTAAGAAATGATCGGGGAATCCCTCCGGAGTGTAGTCATGACGACTGGATCTGAATTATTTTGTTGTATTTGGTGGTTTGTGTTCCAGCTGTCGATCAGCAACTATATATCCATAATCCACCAGTTAAAGGAAATACAATGTGTTGTGTTATATTAGCTGTACAATTTACCACATATGGTGTTCTTAGTTTCCATACCTCCTCTGTTTTACGAGCGACTTATCAAGTCTTGGCAAACGGCATAAAACACGATTAAACGTGATAGTATATAAAACCATGCTCGTATCTACAACCTATAGAAATGCAAAACGGCGTCAGTTTAGACGTAATTCTGTCCTCCTGCTTACCGCATCATTTATGAGAAAACATTTCATAACATTAACACAACATATTCGAGGTGGTTTTAAATAGCATATCCGTATTTATTTATTTCTCCAAGTTCTGTTTTTGTGTGCACTGAGGAGTCTCAAACAGGCGTTTGTTTAATCATTTTAAGATTGGCTTTAATCAATGTTTGAAAATGAATTCTTCATATTTGATAAATGAGAGGTAACATTTTATTTATGGTATTATTTCCACATATTTCTCTCCATTCTTCCTTCTGCCAACGATGTCGCAGTTTCTCGTCTCTCCCGTTTGTGTGCTTAGTGCGTACGCATGGGTTAGAGTTTGCGTGGAGGACCGCACATTTTCCTGTCAAGTTAGTATTTTATAAATCGCAAACATTGCGTAGAAACTGGCGTACGCCATTTTTTGAGCGTATATCCCTTTATAAATGAGGCCCCTGGTCTGTTGTTACAGACTGGAGCCCCATTACAGCAGTGATCACTGGCCATTTCTCAATCGCGAGGATATTGGCTTCCAAGCCAATATTTCAAGGATGCTACGTCATCAAGTGGTGCAGCAGGACCGTTCCAATGTCCAGCACACTTGGAATTCCACCGAGGCCGCGTCCTTGGTTTGGGGGAAATTTCGAGGCTGCACATGGGTAGACTTTGCGTCCTTAAAATCCCCACAATGCTTTGCGCACGGACCAATTTCCCCAAATCTGTGGCGGAAAATGTAAGGCGGGGCCTCTCATATGACGCACACCTGCACACTTGCTAGCCTGTTCCACTCTTCGTTTTCCGAATGCCAGGAAGGATTCTTGCCTCGCTTCTGAAGCAAGATGCTCGGAAGACATGTGCTACCAAGCAAGCGTACTCGCGATTGAGAAACACCCACTGTTATCCTCAGAAGTGTAACTCATCGTTCCAGAAGATATTTGAACTATAGGGAGATTACAGGAAGTGGTGTGACACACAGACATTTTTGCCCGACAGCCCTTTTTAGATTTGCAAAGACATTTTTTACATAATTATGTCATTTCATACTGAACTGATAAGAAAATAATGGTGGGTCATGCAGCTCTTCCTATGGGAAAGCTAAATCTGAGATCCACTTAAAGCACAGGATTTAAATGAAGGGAAAACCAGCAAGTTCACAGAAAACCCGAAGGGAATTGCGGGTTAAACTATTACTGGGGTTGTGATAAAAAAGAAAGAGGGTATTAAGTTCCCTAACCAGAACAGGTACTTTTAAAATCACCCCACATCTTCTTTGGAATAATATTCATTCTGAAAGAACCTTGTATAACATGGATTTATGTGAAACAGTCAAAAAGAATGTCCTGTTCTCCAAAACTTGCACTCTGTATGAGTAGTTAACATTATAGATATGATGATGCTGTGGTATTCAGAATCAGGTTCATTGCCAAGTGTCTTTTCATATATATTTGATACAAGACATTTGCTTTGGTGTATAATGGCGCAAACATAGTGAGAGAAATTTAAATATAAGCAAATACAGAAATATTATAAAAACTTGATAAAAAACAAGTCTGAAAATGTTTATACAATAACACATAATACAAATATACAAAAAGGAGAATAAGGATTTGAGGAGCTTTTTTGCTTTGAAAGTGGTAGTGTTGTGCAGAAATGTGCAAAATATACCGATTAATGTGCATAGGTACAAAGTATGATTGTTGGACACAGAACAGACACACAGACTTGGAAGACATATTTTAAAATGAGGAGTGCTTGTCATTAATATATTTTGAATGTTTACATTTTTGACACAGACAAAGCAGGCATAAGAGTTTCAGGTTGTGTTAGATCCAGCTGCGCCCTTGTGTGATTTGGAAGAGATACTGAACTGGTTACCTTAAATGAAGGTGCGGAGACACTTTCAGATTAGTGATGATTATCCACTCGCAGACAGAGACATCTCATCTGGATGCACAGTCTGAAGCAGATTCTTTTAACAATTAAGTTCCTCAATGTCTGCCGGGGATAAAAACCATCAGCAGCTGATTGCCTGCTGCATAGTAATACAATTAGTTAGAGATGAACCTCCATATGAATGATTTATAATAAGAAAGTCTGAGTGTAGCTGAGGTCTGTGCGGCTATCTAAGGTCACAGAAGTATCTATGTATGTCTAAAGTTTCCTCTCTTTTACATATGTATGGGGTCATGAGAACATTTGATGTACATATAAATAATGCTATTTTCATTCATCATTTGGTGCTTGAGTGTGTACAATATTTATATTTTGTGTGCTGCTGTTTGTTGTAGGATGTGGCGCTGACGCTGGACGTCCCTTTGGGTGCCATCGGTCGGGTGGAGAAGATGGGCGGGGCTTCGAGCAGAGGGGAACACTCCTACGGCCTGGACATCACCTGCAAGGTGTGTGTGTGTGTGTGTGTGTGTGTGTGTGTGTGTGTGTGTGTGTGTGTGTGTGTGTGTGTGTGTGTGTGTGTGTGTGTGTGTGTGTGTGTGTGTGTGTGTGTGTGTGTGTGTGTGTGTGTGTGTGTGTGTGTGTGTGTGTGTGTGTGTGTGTGTGTGTGTGTGTGTGTGTGTGTGTGTGTGTGTGTTGGTGTGTGTGTGTGTGTGTGTGTGTGTGTGTGTGTGTGTGTGTGTGTGGGTGTGTGTGGTGTGTGTGTGTGTGTGTGGTGTGTGTGTGTGTGTGTGTGTGGTGTGTGTGTGTGTGTAGGTGTGTGTGTGTGTGTGTGTGTGTGTGTGTGTGTCGTGTGTGTGTGTGTGGTGTGTGGTGTGTGTGTGTGTTGTGTGTGTGTGTGTGTGCGTGTGTGTGTGTGTGTGTAGTGTGTGTGTGTGTGTGTGTGGTGTGTGTGTGTGTGTGTGTAGTGTGTGTGTGTGTGTGTGTGTGTCGTGTGTGTGTGTGTGTGTTGTGTGTTGTGTGTGTGTGTGGTGTGTGTGTGTGTGTGTGTGTGTGTGTGTGTGTGTGTGTGTGTGCCCCCCCCCTCTCGGGCCCCTCCCCTTTCTTCCCCCCCCCACTTATTCCTCCCGCCCCCGTCTGCCCCTTGCCCCCTTCCTCTGCTCATTATGGAATACATTTCATTTTTTTCTGAGGCAAGAATATTATTAGTCATTATAATGATATAAGGCTGGGCTGCTGCCTGACTCACTGCTGCTGTTTTCCTTCGATTATGAGAAAGGAACACATGTTGTCGGATATTTAAACTCTGTGCTTTGCAATGAAGCCAGCTTTTGATAAGATGCGCTTCAGTGGCTTGGATGTGGAAGGCGACTTTTTGTTATCCACACTTTGACATTTCCTACCAGACAAGATCAACGTAATGAGGCACAGCTCAGTATGAAGTTGGAGGGGTTTCCCAGCTGACGTGACAGAGCACACTCATCGCAGTCATCCTGGGACTTATGGACCAATGAAAAATTACTCGACTAAGATTTTAGCCGACTAACGTTCAGTCTACTATATGAAGGCAGCTCTACTGCTAGCTGATAGTTGGTGCTTGTACTACCTCACAAATTAAAGGAGACATGTGGAGCTTTCTAAACAAACAGGAAGTCAAAACCTCTGCAGGGTACCTTTAAGAAATTGCAGCTAGCCGTGGCCGCCGCTCAGCCAGGCATCACTATCCGGATATCTGACTGCTGTGGTAATGAGTTATTTTTAAAGAGTGACAGTGTGGAATACTCTATTAGTAATGAGTTCTAAATTCAATCACACTTATTTTCTTCTTCTGCAGTACTGTCTTAGATGCTGTGTGTGTGTTGGTGGTTAAGTGGTTGATCTTCTCTTTCCGCAGGACATGAGGAACTTGAGGTTCGCCCTGAAGCAGGAAGGTCACAGCAGGAGAGATATCTTCGAGCTCATCTTCAAATACGCCTTCCCCGTCTCACATGGTCTGGTAAGGCAGCTTCTCACGCTACTGCCCCCTACTGACCGACACACAAAAGGGTGATTGGCTAGCAAATGAATTCAATTCAGATACAGAAGGAACCCCTATTTTCTCAGATGGTTTGATCTACATTGGTTGGATAAGCCTGTGTTCAACACTACACAATCTAGAGCAAAATCAACATTATGTACTGTATGTAAGAATCACTTTAAACAGAACACTCCCCTGCCTTTTAGTTTGAAAACAAGTCCAGTTTTGATCCTTGAGTGTATCAGCTCTTGTGTGTCACAAAAAAATGTGGATGTCTGTGTAAAAAGAAAAACTGCCATAACATTATTAATTCATATAATTTCCCACTTTCCATTTTTGACCAGCTTCTGTCGTGAACATCACTACCAAATATTCATTTGTTTTAAAGATTTTGTAACTTTTTAAATGCTAATTTGTGTACATAAAGACCACCGATACAGCCACAATGTTCCTAGTGGAAACGAGGTTGCACATAAGGAAGTTGCTCAATTGGAACGTTGTAAAAACTATTATCTTTAAAGCCAGGGCTTCATATTAAAAGCCTGATATTATTGAATGTATGATTTTCTGCTGTAATGGCCCAGGGATCAAAACATGTTTTTTTTGTATGGGTTTAAATGTGTTTAAATCTGTCCTTTATATGGTGTGAGTATATGGTGCTACAATTTTATAATAGATCAATCAAAGCAGCTGAGATTGAACTTCCAAAATTGGGAAAAAACTCAAACAAACTGTGCCATATGAATGAACACAGCCAACATGATCCAATATCCACAAATGTCCCTAGTGATACACAGGGGTGAAAGCAGCAAACCATATTAGCTGAGAAAGGACATGTCCTCCTAGGGCTGTGCGATTATGGCAAAAATCATAATCACGATTATTTTGGTCAATAATTGATATCACGATTATTAAATACGATTATTCATGACTTTGAAAACATCCATTTATTGAACTTTTAAATACAAATAATAATTTGAACAGTATCTTTTAACTGTTGATTTCCCTGAACGTATAATTCAACTGAAAAACCAATACAAAAATAAATAAAATAAATGATACATTTATATCTACATTTAAATAAATAATATCAAAATAATAAATACCAATAAACAAGATCAACAAATATTTTGGAGTGCACTTCAACAAGCTACTAAACATATATAAATATGATAAATACAAATAAATTAGATCAAATATGTTGCAGTGCACTGTCACAACCTAGCAAAGCAAAATAATCCTTTTTTTCGATTATGTTGTTTTCGTAATTGTGGCAGGCCAAAATCGTAATTGCGATTTAAAATACGATTAATTGCACAGCCCTATGTCCTCCTGCATTGCTTCAAAGCCCAGTGTTTATGCAAGTGTTGAATGCAGAGATGCAGCCCCCTCAAGCCATCAGCTGCCCACCTACACCACAGCTCCATCAGCTGGGCTAATACTCCTGCATGCTCCATGTGTGTCAGAGCTAGCCTCAGCAGAGCTAATGTCTCTAATATGGGCCAGTGGACACATTAGAATCTGTACATTTATTCTGCCAAATACCCTCTGGCTGTACCGGACACCAACCAAGCAGGCAGCGTTTGTATTAAGGATTTTTTTTTATAGCTCATGTTTTACTCACACGAGTGAATTCAGACATTCACTGTTCAATTTCTGAATGAAGAACTGGGGCACATCTTTCTGGCTTAGAAGTAGAAAATAACCCAAACAAGAACAAAAGTAAGCCGTGACTCCAAATGGATCATGGAGCGGGTTCTGCCCTCTGTAACTGGAAGCTAAATATTTAGATATTTAAAACATGAAACATTTTCGGGGTGAACACGAAGCATGTTTTTGTAGTAGTTTCATCAGTCCTTAATTGATCGATCAATAAACTGAACACCAATCAATTAGTTGTTACAGTCATTTATCAAGTTCTCTTGTAAACTGAATACCTTTTTTGACTGTTGGTTAGACAGAAAAAATCACTTTAAAAGATGTTCAAATACATCATATGTCTCAGTTCTACGATAATAAATAAAAGGGGAAAGTAATTTGACATTTGATATTTGAAATAACTTCGACCATCACACCAACCTGAAAACATGTTTTTACAAACAAAACTTACAAAATGGTTTTGTTATCAATTGTTCCTTGTGCGGGAATGCTAATGGGATCATTCAAATAATAGTGTTATTACATGTGAGTATCAGTGGGGAAACACACCAGTTTCTCCCCAGAATCTGACCAAAAGTGACCTGTAAATCAGTTCTTCTCAGGGTCCCTGTCCTGCTGCTAAAACCTTACTATCCTAAAATCCTATTCATAAAAATGCTCCTTGTCTCCTTTGGGTGCAGCCACTGTTTGCATATGTGACTCAGGAGAAGTACGGGGAGAGTGGCTGGGACATCTACAAACCCATAGAGGAGTTCAGACGGCAGGTAAGGCAGCTTTAGGACTCTACTATTACAGGCATAGCTCCGTTTTGTTTGTTAGTCAAATACACCCTAAGTTGAGAAAAAAGTAGAAAAGGAGCATTTCTGCGTATGAAGTGACCAACTGATCATTTTCCTTCGCAGGGCTTACCCAATAACAAGTGGCGCATCACCTTCATCAATAAGAACTACGAGCTGTGCGACACCTACCCCACCGTGCTGGCCGTACCCTTTAAGAGTAAAGAGGAGGACCTCAGGAGAGTGGCAGCCTTCAGGTCCAGAGGACGCATACCCGTGAGTCAGATCTGCATTCAACTGATTTCAACCAATCAGCTGTTGGTATGGTACTGCACTGGACCCTGTCCTGCACTGGACCCTGTCCTGCGCTGGACCCTGTCCTGCGCTGGACCCTGTCCTGCACATGCTGCAACTATAACAACAGTTTCCAAGAAAAACAACACACACCGCTACTAACAGTTTGACTCTTTTCACTTTGACTTCTCTATATTTAAATGTTTCTGTGATATAGTATGTCATTGAATACGACCCACTCCTCCAAATAATAGCTAATTGCGATCTTTTCAAGTGGTATTTTTAAATGTTCATATTATGTTGGAGCGATTGTTTTTTTTCCGCCTCTTTATTCTCATAACAAATATATCAAATTATTTTGGTGTGATTTATGTATTTCTTCCAAGAAGATCTATACCAAACCAATATATTTAGTTAATTCTGGAGAATAGGGTTTGTAGGCTGGGTTATCTCTGCTGCTCCATAAGACTTGATTCAAACTAGTCCAGTCCACAGTGCCTTTTGATAAGATTTACACTAATTGTGCACCCAAGTCTAAACTGGTTTCATCAGCCTGCTCTCGTGTCCGTTGCAGTAAAACGTTGTGCTTTTATTCAGTCTTTTTTGACTTTTTCAATCCACCTGACTCAGTTGAATGTATTTCAGGTCCTGTCGTGGATCCACAGGGAGAACCAGGCGGTGATCGCCCGCTGCAGTCAGCCTCTGGTCGGGATGTCCGGGAAGAGAAACAAAGACGACGAGCGCTACCTGGACGTGATCAGAGAGGCCAACGACACCTCCAAACTCACCATCTTCGACGCCCGGCCCAGCGTCAACGCCGTGGCTAACAAGGTGAGGGGGGGGGGGGGGGGACTCTCAGGGGTCAAAGGGGTGGTCTGACAGAAAACACTTCCCCCCCCCATCAGGCTGTCAGAAACAGCGGTACTGAGGGGGATGGAAAGCAGCAGATGGAGAGGTCACTCCTGAGAAAGCTTGCTGTGATTATGGCATGGCGGTTTTCCTTTGAATAGAGTGAGAATAAGTGGAAAATAATAAATAAATGATTTATTTGCATTACAAACGAATCTATTAAAATATATTTTCCATTCATTAAATAGTATAACAAATGAAATAGCATCCACTGTTTCAAGATGACAAATGATGTCACGTTTTGTGCGACCAGCAGTCAAAAATCCCAATGTATTCAGTATAACGGACCGTCTACACAGCAGCGTTAAAAAAATCTTGAAACGCTTCTGCCCATTCACTTTGAATGGGGGTGACGTCACTTTCCCTCACTTTTCGCCGAAATGCATTGTGGGCAGGCGAGCGGAGATTTTGAGGATTTTGAGGATTCAAAGTTGAACAATGTTCAACTTTTGAGGCTGAGGTGGAAGCGTCAGCCAATCAAATCCCGTGTACGCAAATCTGACCGTTCAAGCTCTAGCCAATCAAACGGCGTGTATGCTGGGAGAGACATACTGCAGGTCATTTCCTCATATTCCAAAAAATGGAGGAGAAATTAGCGGTAGCGAATCAATCACCCGGTGCTTTATGACCAGACCTACCGGGATATAAACCGGAGGAGCCAGGCATGGAGGGAGGTGGCAGAGACAGTGGTAGGTTTTCGCCTGTTTTGGGGAGTTTATATCCAGTTTACTTCGGGCTTTTTTGCTTCGTATGTCGGGGGCGAGAGATTCATGTGATTGGTTGTTCGCAAAAAATCCCCAAGCTTCAGATACGCCCACCTCCAAGATTTTTTTAACGCTGCTGTGGAGACGTTCCGTAAAACAAAATCAGAATTAAATAGTCATTCAACATTTTTTATATATTTTACCGTTATATATTTTTAATGTTGTAAGTCTGTGTTCTCATCCCAATTTTCTATCCACATAAAGAATCTTTTTTGTAGTTCACTAGTGGCTGGGGTAGGAAGTTGATGTATTGATTGAAAAAAATGCCAGTTCTTAATGTGCAATGGAAACTTTGGAGACTTTTTTTATGATCAAACATAAAACATGCATCCATAAAACAAACAGAAACGCCACATTCCCATCGTATGGTCCACATTTTCTTTCTCTCCGTTTGAGCTTTGACTCTTTTTACAAAACCTTGTTGCAAACTGTTCTTCTGCAACAGCCGGCATCTTTGAGAATTCTGTTAGCGACTATTTATCTCATGCGTTAATATCGGGATGTTTTCATAACAGTAGAAGGAACTATAACTAGCTTGACTCGTGTATCCTATATTCTATAATCAAGGAGTGCCACAATATGTGTTTTGTTAGTCCTGGAGATAATGAAAGAATCAAACTATCTAGGTCACAAACAAAACATATTCAGTCTTTTGAAATCTGACCTGAGGATTAAGGCCTGGGAGTGGAATCTTCAGTATCAACATTTATAAAGATGACATTTCTGATTCATGTGTAACGTGTGTCAGGCTGCTCTGTTGTCATGGGGTGTCGTACATGGTCATCTCCTGTAGTCCCTATCTGTTTGCAATAGTATATACACTTCAAAATAATGAAAATATGATGTACTCTTAGAACAAAATCAATTTGTGCCGAACATATTGAACTTTTTTTGTCAATTTCAGAGATTTATTCATCGTATTATTTTGGCATTAGTTAGTATTTTGGATCATGAGCTGCATTGCTTGAAACACAAACATTTTCTTCACAGTTAAACATACTCTCTTTTATGGGTATTTAGTATTTCCCCTAGAGAATCATAATCAATCAGTACTTTATTTATTTCCAGGGAAATTGGGTTTTGTGATAGTTGCTCCATTTATAAAAATAAATAAATAAAAAAGGTTAGAAGTAAGAATATGCAATAAATAAAATAAAATATGTATATACACAGAATAAGTTAAAGTAAGAATGTGCTATTGAAAGATTAAATAAATAACATTAAATAGATTAAAGATATTTACATGAACATAAAAAATTAAAGATGACTGCAATCAAAAGTAAAAAAAATGAATCAAAGCCATTAGAATAAATATATTTATATAAGAAAAGAAGATTAAAGGTGGGGTAGGTAAGTTTGAGAAACCGGCTCGAGATACACTTTTTGTTATATTCCATGGAATGCTCTTAACATCCCGATAGCAATGAATATCTTAAGTGCTTTGACAAAAAATCCATAAAAAAATGTCATCTGTGGAAGCTGTAGTACTGTAAAAAGCACGACCAATCATTTTAGCCGGCCCGGCTAAAATAACTGGATGGCCTACCTGCCTGTCAGCCTTCCATCTGTGCACAAACTTATCTCGTGCCCTCATTGGTCATGTGCGCGTTCGTGTGTGTTGGAGGAGGGGCTCTGTAAGGAAGTGGCAGATTTTCTCCGGTTGTGTATTTTCAAATTCTAGCGATCTCGAGCCGGTTTCTCAAACTTACCTACCCTACCTTTAAAGTAGGATTGTGTAATAAAACATATTATATAAACAAATTGAATAAATAGATATATATATATATATATATATATATATATATATTTTTTTTTTTCACTATATAGTGAACATGTACAATAAATTAGACATGATATAAATAAATTAGAGGATGATAGCTAATGATATTTAGATTCCCCTCAGCAACTGTCCACCTCCGTATAGGGGGAAACATCCATTGGACCAACACTTTTATTCAGAAAAAACACACTTCTAATACATTTGTGTAATGAATCCTAATGTTTTTCGGGGGCCCCATGTTGAACACTTCCTGAAACAGAAGGTTTCATTTAATGTTGTATCTTGATGTCCCTCCCCAGGCCACAGGAGGAGGCTACGAGGGCGACGAGTACCAAAACGCAGAGCTGGTCTTCCTGGACATCCAGAACATCCACGTCATGAGGGAGTCCCTGAAGAAGCTCAAAGACATTGTGTACCCCAACGTGGAGGACTCTCATTGGCTGTCCAGTCTAGAGTCCACACATTGGCTAGAACACGTTAAGGTCAGAAAAAGAGTCATCGCTTCATTTAGTGCCTTTTTATAGCAGGAAAGTCAAACATAAAGGTTAGAAATGACTATGTGAATGTCAGTCAGCATCTTCAGTACAAAAGAGTTTGGTTTAACTTAACCTTCCTCCTTAATAGTCCCATGGTAGTTTGTATGGTGGTGTGTCAGGATTACTAAACAGATGTGGAAATTAATGTACAATCATTTCTAGGTCTTGAAGAAATGTTTTGATCATAAAGTAAAATATTATATTGATCAGTTCCAGATACCGCTGACTAAATGTTTTCTGCCTTTGTCCCCTCTTAAATATATAAATAGAAATACTGGTTTCTAAAAGTCCTTTGTGTGTGCAGCTGGTGTTGTCAGGAGCCATCCAAGTAGCAGACAAGGTCTCCAGCGGACAGTCTGTGGTGGTGCACTGCAGCGACGGCTGGGACCGCACCGCTCAGCTCACCTCTCTGGCCATGCTGATGCTGGACAGTCACTACAGAACGCTCCGAGGCTTCCAGGTCAGTAACAGCACAGCAGCATGATGACAGGAGAGTGCTCATCCACACCAGAGAGCAGCACCGTTAGCTTCAATCGCACCAGTGCAGCGCTTTCACTGCACTTAGCAGTAATGGAATGTCTCTTGTTGAAGCTTTAGTGAGATGAATGGACAGGAAGTGAAGCTCTGTGTTGTTTCAGGTGCTGATCGAGAAGGAGTGGATCAGCTTTGGGCACAAATTTGCTTCGGTAAGTAACTCCTCTCTTTAGAATCAATCGGTTGAGCTTTGTCTTTTTTTAATATCAATAATTGCCATTTAGCAAAGCTGAATGTCTACATATTCATTTATGTTCGTACTATATGGTCCTGAAACCCAGAAATAACTAACCATTGGACCACTTCCGCTTCCTTTGTCTCCAAGTCAGAGGTTTTTTTTAACGTGTTTGTGGTTAGAAGCCTGACATAAGGTCTGTGGTTAACACAAGCTGCAGAGTTTTTCACCTTTTGTTTTCCGATATAAAATACGTCATTGATATTTATGTTCAGCCATGCAACCGTGATGTAGTTCACTAGCTTAGCGTTAGCTTTTAACTTCGGGCAATTGTATTTAGGCTTAAGAATCACAAAGTGGTGTTAATATGTGGAAATGATCCTGCTAAAAGGTTGAATGTGTGAGTGCCGCAGATCTTATTTTCTGCAACATACTGAAATGCAAAGGGGAAAACCCATTGCTTTTGTAGAGGGACCCCCTAGCGATGCTACATTCTGGGTCAGCCTACAAAACATTGATCATCACTGCACAATTCTATACGCATTGTTTTATTCCACTGTACAGTATTTAGTTTTACATTCATTTTTTATTTATCTGAATTGACTTGAACCTTAGGGTCCCCTGCACCCTTCTCTTGCACTATTTTATTTCTATTTCTTCTTGCACTAGCTTTATTTCTCGGTGTGTTGCACTGTACGAGACTTAAGATTTGTATTGCCAAAACTACGGTTCAGCTGTTACAGTATACATTTCACTATAAAGTATTTGAGCTTCAATCTTGAATGTTGTCCCTATATCTAAAAAAAAGTGTTAGTTAAGCATCGTGTGTGTGTGTGTGTGTGTGTAGAGGATAGGTCACGGCGACAAGAACCACGCGGATCAGGACCGATCCCCCATCTTCGTGCAGTTCATCGACTGCGTGTGGCAGATGACTAAACAGGTCTGTATCTGAGTCATCACGCTGCATATTAGCGTGTGGGAACTTACCCTCAAAGGCATTTCTATCATCCGTCACATGGGTGCTATAATAGTCTCATTTAAACCAAGATGAGAGGCTTTTCCATATGTATAGCTCGAGCCGGCAGTTGGGGTTTAATTAGATGAAATTGCCACAAACGTCCTCCTGAAAAGACACCGCTGCACTCTTTAAATCATGGAAGCAGAGTAGAATGTCTTTGGTGCGCAGAACTCGTGGGAGTCTTATTTAGCTGTTTTGGTTTATGTAAGTGCAGCAGCTCAAAGTGCAAAAAGGCGGATTATAAATATATATATTGGAGGTTGTGGTGGTTAATAAACACAGCAGAGAGACTGCACATTTGTAGTTTTATGTGTGTCCTGCTGCATGCTGGGATTTAATGAGCTGAAGGAGAGGTTTTTAATTTCAAATCAAGCAGCTGTGGACAACTCGTACTGAGAGTCAGTAGACTAGTGAGCTACATTTCCCTACATGTAACTGTCCTTTTTCGCTGTTTTCTAACCTTTTTTAGAATGTTTTACGAATGTGAAGGTGTACTGGAGTGCTTTAAAAGGCGCCTCTAAATAAATGGTATTATTGATTTTCTTTATTACATAGCTTTTTTAATTAATATATCTATTAATTCATTTGATTTGTTCATGTATAAATATATACGGAAGGATTAGCAGATGTTCCTGCTTGCACTGATTCAAACAAATGGACTGGATCTGAGTTTAATTAACATAGTTTGTCTGAATCTTAGCATCTTTAGTCCTGACGTCTGAGCCTTATTATCACCCAAAATATATTTGTTCTGCCTCGTCTGAACAAACCTCCCACAGGTTCACTGCCTTCCTCTCACCTGAACATGGTGCCTCGCTGCAGGAGAGCACAGGTTGCAGCTCTGCATGTGCTTGTTAATTGCACCGCGACAAAAAAAGCACCCTGAGTAGGCGCATTTCATCACTTCATGGAGGTGCTATTCACAGTATAACAAAAACAAGGAATTTATCTTAAAGACCAATCCTACAATCTGCTGAGATGAGGAGGCTGAATTTTCTCTCCTCTCAGTTTCCTACAGCCTTTGAGTTCAATGAGCGCCTCCTGCTGACCATCCTGGATCATCTCTACAGCTGCTGCTTCGGGACTTTCCTCTACAACTGTGAGAGTGCACGAGACCAGCACGTAAGACTTTAACACTCCCGTCCCTCCCTAAAGCTGACTTTACCTTGCAGAGGACTATCTCTAAGTGTCTCTCTTTCTCTTCTCTCTGTCCAGGAGGTGAGGCTGAAGACGGTGTCTCTGTGGTCTCTGGTCAACAGTAAGATGGAGATGTATTTAAACCCTTCTACACCCCCCGAGTCCGGCAGGGTCCTCTACCCCGTCGCCAGCATGCGCCACCTAGAGCTGTGGGGTAACGTACTACATCCGCTGGAACCCCCGCATCCGACAACAGGTAGGAGGGCCTCTGTGTGTTATATTATACTATGATCTGCTCTAGGCCCCAGACCCATTTAGATTGTATCAGTTT